TTCTTTATTTATGGACAATTAATTTTGATTTATTCAAAATGGCATTTTGGATTAACAAAAAAAAATTGAAGTTTGAAAGACGTACCGTACCCACATACCCGTGTCCAAAATTTGGACTCTTTTTAGACATGTCCCATTATTCTACATTTTAGAAAATAAAATATCTGACACTTAGATGCGTACCTGTACCCTGATACCCATTCCCGATTTCGAGCATCATAGTTTAGATGCTAAACCATGAACCAATTCAGACTATCGTCGACAAGTCATGTTAGTGCCCGTCGCCGACCAACTATCTAGCATCACCACACAAATAAACTTCATCTTTGAAATCCTACCAAAACCCATCCTGTTTCGCTCCATTCGCGTCGACCATGCTCCGACAGTCCCAAATCACAGGCCAACACCTATAACCCACTAATCCAAAGCCGCCAATCGCGACTACTATGTCACCGTCCGCCGTCCACACTTCGTCTTGCCCCACCAATCACAGGCCACTTTCATTGCCAACAACTCATCACTTACCAACTCAAACCATCGATCATCACAATAGATATCGTCGTTTTGTTCCCCGAGTGAAACAAAAGACGCCTAAATTTTGGTCAAACCGACATCACATTACCCTTCCAATTAAGTCCCCATTTGGCCCCCATTCTTTTAAAATTTTAATGGTTGGAATAGTTTTTTTTGAAAAATGTGTGGTTGAAAAAGAATGAAAAGTTTTTTATTTGTGTAATATTATTTTATGGAAGATTGTGTGGTTGAAAATAAGAGAGAAAAAGAATAAAAATGAGAATGAGAATGGGCGACAAACGGGGCTAAAAGTCCAATGCTGCCTCCAAAAAAAAAGCCACTGATTCTATGCGTGTAATATATTTAATTCCCAGCCGGTAGCCTCCACGTTTTATCCTCTCTATCCTAGATCTTGACTTTGACATTATTAATGGGTCTTGACAAAAATCTGCGTTCCACCCCTTCCGGCAGCCACACCGACAGAAGCAGAGAGAAGGGTTTTAAGATTATGGAGAAAAGCTCGTAAAGAGAAAACACAAAATTTATGAGTAAAATAAAATTGCTAAGATGATTGGACGAGAAGAAGAAAATTCGGCCGCTTGCTGGAGAACAAAAAAAGCTTACAAGTTTAACCAATGAAGTTAAATCGGCTCCGATACCATGTTAAGAAAAATATGAATTGTATTATTATAAGCTCTTGTTGTATTATAATATAGAAGGCCCTATTTATAGGATTACAAATAATTGCAAAAGGAAATAAACCTAAAAAGGAAATAATTCAAAAAGGAAAGATCGTGTAATAACTACACAATCAACTAATAAGGAAAATAATCCTACATAATTGAAAAAATATAATAAAAGATTATTCTAGACAATATTTCCATATTCCATCTCTTTAACAATTAACTCACTTTATTTCTCGTTTGTGGAGGTATTATTTTCTATAATATTGATATTTATGCAAGTTTGAAAATGTAGATCAATTTTTTTTTTTTTTTTTTTTTTTTTTGTTT